GTGCAAACGGCAGTGCAAAGCACTGTATACACCGCCAAATGACAGGCATGTGAGAAAAACCTGAGAGTCAAACCCTGTGTGGCATGTTTTCCCACCTGTCAGGCAATAATGATCCGAGTCCACACCATGATCGAAATCCGACTAATAGCAGGGTGTGCCCAGGTCGATCTTGGCACTACCTGTCTGGGGCAGCTGGGGACCAGCTGGCAGCCCAGCCTACGTAAATTCACTATATTTTCAATATTTCTCCCTGGCCATATTTGTACTAGGTGTTCATGTTCTTATTTAGTCCATAAAATACAAGGGGCAAGGAGAAGTATGACGTTGGCCACATTTTCATAAGCAAGGATTATAAACAGGCTGCATAGTACAAAGGTATAGGGTGTATGGAAGGATGTGAGAAATGAGGCAGCTCCAATTACTACCTGTGTCTGCTCTTCCGTTCAAAAAACATTCCCCCACCCGACCACCCTTTGCGCTGTCCGCCAAATGCGCAACCACAAACAAGGCGCGTCAAAGCGGAGCCTCTGGCTCGTTGAATGAGAGGAGGGTAGCGGAGGGCGGATACCACGTTGAGACGTTGTCTGGAGAGCCAAGCTTGGGTTTGATGATGGTGATAGGCGCGCGTCTACTGCGGCTGCCGCTACATGGCGCATGCGAAAGTGAACCTGTCCGGGAGAGTCAGTATTAGCAAGTGGCCACTTGTCGGGGAGGAACTACAAAGAGGCAATGGGCAGGAACAAAAGCCCAGAACAGTGACAGGTGGTGACCGCGCACAGACGCACGGGTGGGTAACAAGGACAACCAACGGAACAACATGAGGAGGATTACATGGGGCGCAGACCACTTGGTAGTGGAACACAGATGAAAACAAGAAATAATGAGGGGAGCAAGCAAGCAACTGGGCGAGAGACGGTTGTGGTGGAGAGGAAGGTGAGTTTGGTTCTGGTTGAAGTTTGGAAATAACCAAACATAGGGCGGAGTTTAAACGACTTGGGGAAATTTTGGAGAGTTTCTCGCACAGGCCTTTTCATGTTGAGCTCAGGATTCCGTGTCTTTTCTACCTGTAAGAACTTGGAAGTGCTCAATGTATCATTTTATTATCTTACTATGAATAATTTGTATCTCAAGTACATCATTTCGTCGCCCGAAGAAAATTGGCGGTACAGGTCTTCCTGAGCAGAGTTGAAAACCTGTGGGTCAGGTGTCGAGCCACTGGCTCTAA